TAATAACAAAACTGGAAACACCACCAGTGGCCCTCAGTAAGGGACTGATTAAATGAATTATGGATTACCCATAGTCAACAGGCATTTTATTAATGAAAGCATTAGATAAACATAAAATACATGTGTTGATAGGGAAAGATCTCCATGATATATTAAGTAAAAAAAGCAAGGTGCGAAAAGACACTTGCTGGCTAACTTCAGTGGAGTTACAATCCACTTCTGAAGGTGGGGCCTGTCATAAAGTGTGAAGAACACAGTCCTCTATACACTTCCTTCATGTCAAAGGAGGAACACAGATAATAAAGGAAGGAAGTTTTTATAAAGGATGGGCACTGTCAGGGAGGTCCCATCAAAGAAGTATACATGAGGTAACTGATCATTAAGGAAAAGAGATGGGGAGAGATGAGCACAGATGTGATGCTGAAATAGGCCTGGCAGGGCATGTTTGAGAAAAGAAATGGGTGTGCGAAGTTCAAAGACGAAGCTGGCGTGAAAGAGCCCAAGACTGGCTGGAGCCATCTAGTTGGGAGGCTGTCATGATAGTGTATGTATGAGACAGATAAGGTCTGGATTAGAAATAAGGCAATGGAGGATGAAAAGAAATGATTTGCCAAGAATTTGCTACTGATTAGATTAAGGAGAGAGAGAGGTGAATAGACTAGAAGGAGGAATCTGGGATGATTCCAAGATTTTAGGCTGTCGAAAGAGACTCAAAGAGCTGGAAAAAATGAGGAAGTCCAAAGGGGGATCTGATATGGGGTTTGATTTTAGAAATCAGAGATACCCAATGGAAAGTTAAAGGTCAGGACTAAAGCTCAAACAAAAGGTCAGGACTGCACATACATGGTTGGAGAGAGCTGAGGATTCGGGACTGAATCCTGGAAAGGAAATGTCAATGTAAGTTGAATAGAATTAAGCAACCCGTCTATACTCCTATTTTTTTTTTTTTTTGCCTATAATTCTTCAATAATTTGATATGATTTTGTTTATTTCTTTGTAAAATATGGTCTTCATTTTCAGTGATGTGTGTAGAATTAGTTGCTAGTGTGTAAACCATCTCTGAATGAATTATTGTTATAACCTTTATTGTTATGCTGGTGAATCAACTCTGTGTAGGACAAGATGAACTGGTTTTCAACATTTTTATACCCCTGTTTCCTTAAGGAGATCAGGGATTATATAAACTGCAAATTCTAAATAAAGAGAACATTCTTTTTGCTGAATAAAACCAGTGGCCTTTTTTGGGGGCAGGGAGTTGTCTTTGCAACTGAACTGGTTAAAATAAATAACATCTCTAATTATGGTGACTAGGTAAGCCTAATCTGCAATTCCTAAATTTTATTGTCTAGACAGTCCTTAAGAAGAAAGACATGTGATCTTTAAAAATTCACAGTACTGGGCCAAACCAGAATCCTCGATTACCATAATCACTTCCCCTCCAGTTAATTATTATACCAACACCTTCGGCAAAAACAATCCTTCCAATTCAATAATAAGCAACATCAAACAAATTAGGTTTCACCTTATTCACTGCAGATAGCAGACCCCACGTTGGGCAAATTCTGTGCTTGCTAAAAAGATAGGGAACATTTAAAATCTCTGCCTTATTAATAAAAAGAAACACAAGTGCCAATACCATGTTTACATGTATAAGATTTTCAGAGGGTACTTCATATTCTCTGTGAGGTAGATTTTCAGGGTAAAGTCTCTTACATTCTTTCTTATATAATGAAATAATCTGAGACTCTATTTTCCTTTTACCATCTTTAATTTGCATCTTTTTTCTGTTTAATCTTTATAGTCTGTGAAAAATGCCTTCTTTAAAAGATATAATCTTTTAAACAATTATCTCTCTGAGTTTTCCATTAAAACTTTTATTTTTACTTATAATTTATCAGTTTGTCTCTCTGTCCCTGCTTCATCTTCTCTCTCCCCATCAGTTATGTGGTTCCCTGATGTTGACTTAATGCTGTGAATTTGGCTTTAAGAAATTTAGCTATAATGTTATCTCCCAAATTTGTCCAATTTGGGGATAGTCAAATTTAATAGGGAAACAAAAAAGTCTATATAATAAAACATGTTCAAAGAAATATATTTTGCCAATAAATATATGGAAAGGTGCTCAACATCATTAGTAACCAGTAAAATGCAAATTAAAACCTCAACAGGATACCCATACATAGTCTCTAGATGGACAAAAATTAAAAAAGGTTTATAATGCACTTGTATCAAGTGTTGGCAAGAATATGGAACAACGGGATTCTCTCCAGCACCGCTGGGGAGTGCAAACTGCTACAAACACCACTTGGCCTTATCTAGGAAAATCGAAGATATTCACATCCTGTGATCTAGAAATTCAACTCCTGGGTTTATCCCTAGGGAAACTCACACAGATATTCATCAGACACATGTATGAAAATATTTATGGAAATTTGATTTACAGCAGTCAAAAATAGACGTGTGCAAATGTCCAATGAAGAGTGTCATAGATAATTAGGTTGTGGTTTATTTAAACTATGGAATAAAATATAGCAAAGAAAAGAGACTGAACTAGAGCTACACAGACCCCTTGTGTAAATCTTTAAAAATATAGTGTTGGGGCCGGGTGCGGTGGCTCACGCCTGTAATCCTAGCACTCTGGGAGGCTGAGGCGGCAGATTGTTTGAGCTCAGGAGTTCGAGACCAGCCTGAGCAAGAGCGAGACCCCGTCTCTACTAAAATTAGAAAGAAATTAATTGGACAACTAAA